GCGTTCTTAAGTCATAGATAAATGCCTCGTGCATGAAGAAGATTTTGAGGTGATATTAAGGTTCTAGATAAAGAAAATCTTGCAGCGCAGCGCTGAGGTCATCGACGAAAGCAGTGTATTTCGGCATCTTGTTTGGATAGTTTTGCTTTGGTTTTGGTGAGTTTGACTCTCTTTCCGACAACCGTGGTTTTATGGGATGAATGATGATCATTGTACACGCTGTGGAGAGGGTCACTGCCATTATTACTTCTTACTAGCGATTGGAGCCTATGGAGTAACTCCTTGAAAACAGCCAAATCCCCAATTCTGGGTGGAAGCGCAACAAAAAGGCTTTCGATGGCATTTGATGGCAGCTCTTTGATTTCCTCCAGCATATCTCTCACAATTTTTGAACTAAGGAGTTCCCCTGCTAGAGCTTGAATAATAAGATCGGAAAGCGTAGGCATCTTCGTGGTGTTCAGAAACCGTAACACCGTTTCGAGAAATTCAACGGAATGTAACATGGCGTTCACACTTTCCTGGCCGCCGTGAAGATTGTCTCTGGCGACTTGTGCTAAGAATTTGTCGTCTTCCAAAAGTTTTCGTACTTTTTTCACTTTTCCGTTATCCAGCAAGCCTTGGACATACCTAACAATAGTGAGTAATTGCATGGAAGGATTGAAAATACTTGTGTAAGTACAGTACTGACGTGCGAAAAGACGGGATGTTTCGGATTGCTTCGCATAGCTCTGTTTGAAGGCTTGTCGTTGTTGCACTTTTTGAGAGTAATATAGATAACGGATTGGAGAAGAAATGGGCCATATATGCGTACTAGCTGCGTCAGCGATGTAGCTAAAGGGGGGGGGGGGGGGGGGGGAGGAGAGTGGTTTATTGTGATCTTCTTACCTTAATCCCATTCCCAAAGCCTTCAGGACTCTGAAAATGGTCATTCGATTTCTCAAAAAGTATTCTGCTCACGTTATGGCCTAGCCATACAGTTCCCTCCTGGCGCATCTGAAGATTTGTGTATATGCGGTCTACAGAGTCACCAGAGTTCTGAATGTCAAACCTGCGCCCTTGTAGCAGATTCACAAGGGACCTTGGAAGTCTGGCTTCAAAAAGTTCGACTGATGTAGCAATTCCAAAAAGAAGAACGAAGGAAATCCGATCAACCCAAGAACTAAAAAAGGAAAAACAACGTTAGTGTGTGCCCGTTAGTAGATATCAAGTTTCCTACCTGAGAAGTGATATCAGATCCGCTAGTAAAGCTTGATCAAAGGCTTCACTGTCCCGGAAAGCAATGATCACTTTCTTAATTCCCTTCTCTTTTACATGATAATGCAATATATCCAAATCATATGAAAGAGGCTTTGGTGCCTATTTGAACTTCAGCGTTGATACATAACGTCGGTAAGGGGAGATTGTGAGTGATAAGCCTACGGTCCAGTCCATTGATATACCGTGATCCCCATCATTGTCATCATTGTCATTTGTGGCAGATCGAATGATATGCTTCAAAACGGTTTTCAGATTGGACGCATCTCCAGAATCTAGAGCGACTACCTGTCCAGTGTCCGAGGATTGCATCTGTTCGTGTAGACGAACTAATAGTCGCCCCATGGAAGAAAGATTGGAGCCGAGGGCAATCAACCCAGCGGGAATACGTCCATCACAACTAAAAACATAGAATTGGTCAACAGCTTTTTCAAAGGAAAGATTCAGACACCCTACCTCTCAGGTGAAGTCAGCTCTACGAACGTAGACACATTCTCCAAAATATCGGAGTCCACGTCACGAAGTATAGCCTAATTGAAAGATCAGAGTCGATTGCTATGATTAAATTGTCAGTCCGTAGTACCTGGATTTCCTGCTCCTGGCTAGCCCAGAATCCGCGAAACGTGTTATACCGTAGTTTAACAGATTCCGGGTCCTCTTCCCCTTCAAGCAGAGGTGCAAAGGGCAAACCATTTTGATGCAGCGATGACGACACGCTAGACACTTTACGTCTTTTGGACTGGCGTTCAGTCTGGAAATGAGCCTTACTTATAGGGTTATAGATATATGACGTCTACGCAAGGGTTGTTAGCTAATTGACCGCGAACAGCAATGAAGGGTAAAGGCAAACCTGGTGTTCTAAGCCGTCGAGGTCATTCAACTCACGGTTCTCCTCGCGATTATCAGAAGTGGCCATTTTTTTTTTAAATCTAACGGCAACTTGGCTATTGATTTTCAATCATCCGAGAGCCAAAAGAGCATTATAAAACGAGATATTCTTAATTTTCTTGTCTGGTCTCAAAATGTAAAGCGATGATCAGGAGGATTACATAATCAGATTGGTTACCGTTTGTGTGTCCCACGGCCGTAATATTACCTTTGGGCGTATTATTACTTTTTCGGTCGGAAATCTTTACAATCAACTCCTTTTGAGCTCAAGCAAGGCATAGTTCTTACTTCTTCTCTAATGGTATAATTTCACTCCTGTACATCCATGCGCCGCCTGAGTCTGTCCGGGGCTCAATGGCATCGCCATGGTGTTCATAAGAGTCGCCTTTGCTCCGAGTTCCCTCGCAATCCTCATTTGCGAAGGCAGTTCTCTTCGACTATAAACCCCCTCTCAAATGAAAATGGTCGCAACAACGAACCCAAAGCTTCAATACGATGGTTTGAGCAGCCTACCCGCTCGAGCAAAGAGAAGATTGAGGTATACCCTGAGAAAGAAGAACAAGCGGAGCAAGAGGTTATTTGGGCCAAAATCAGGGAGCTACAAGAGGAACTAAAAGAGATAAAGCAAGGCCCGTTTGGACCCAACAGCCCATTGATGAAACAGCTGTCGGAAAAACAAAGGCAAATAGTGCGTGACGCGGTCCGCAAATACGAAGAAGAACATGTAGAGGAGGAGGCCAAGGATAATAAGGATTATCAAGATATTTTTGGCGCCCTCGAAGAAATTATTGCGGAGGAGACTCAAGACTTGGAGAGGCGGAAATCAGCTGAATGGAATCCTAAGGAGATGCTGGCACCGACTAAAACCCCTCCTAAAGAGTCGTTCGAAGTTGAATTAAAAGTCCCGGATACAGCTCAAATGCACGTTAACCGGTTCAATCAAAATTTAAAGCTTCTGATTAAGGACCCAACAAGGGCCCATAGACAAGAGCTGTGGAGGTCATATCAACGATGTAGAGCAACAATACCAGCTTTCATTGACTTATTACCGGAAGAGACCTTGACCATAATGTGGAACTCTCAAAGTCAGAGCGCCAGCCCCCAAACTCCGCTATTGGGACATTGGGAGGATTTGGCAGAGGACATACTTGCGAATGATCGGGACTTAACGCAATCTCAATGGCTGCAGTATATTACTCTTCTTCTTGAAAGTGGACAGTCAAATAAAGCTTTTTCACTGTGGAAAACTCGCGAGAAGCACTTGAACTATGCAGGTGGCACAGAGGTTGAGCAGTTTTGGAACCTAGGGGTTCGGATACTCTTAGCTAATGGGGAATTGGAGCGCGCGCAGGATATTGCGATGGCATTTCTTGCGGACGACAAATCTCGCCCCCCTCGGATTTTAATACCCATCATAATTGCCTGGGCTAAAATTCCAGGAAATACGAACGGTGCCCGGGCTTGGACTTTGTATCTACGGCTCAAAACGATGTTAGGGCCTGACATAATCATGACAGATTATGATTCCATAAGTATTGGCTTTCTCAAAGCTGGCAGAGTTGACATGGCTGTTGCGGTCTTCAAAGATATGATGCTCACTGGACAAACCACTACATCCGACTCAACTTCGCTTTATAACGCCTCGCTGGGTCTGGTTGGGAGTCTACAAGCTTCCAGCATCACAGAAGCTGATGTGAATAAAATATCGCTCTCCGCGTTGACGATAATGCCCCGAAAGTTCCAGAATAAGTTCTTTTATGCTAGTTGGTTGAAGAAGTTAATTGGCATGGGAGAGGTTGATTCCGCCGTTGCGGTCGTTCAATTGATGTACGAACGAGGTATTAGGCCAGATGCAAGACATATAAACGGGGTCATTGGCGGCTGGCTCCGAAAGGACAACCCCTCTGGCCGAGAAAAGGCCGAGAAGCTCGGATGGGCGATGATTCAGGAACGGATTGACCATGTTTGGTCCCGGCAAAAGAAACCGTCTCCTGGGTCGATTAAGCCATCTGTCTATGATGGTGGGAATGGAACCCGTTTACCGACATATGAAAACCAGACTGTTCCCCCGGCAAGCATTGAGACATTTTCCCTCCTGTTACTCTATTATACCCGACAAGGACATGACCGCATGGCTAACTACGTCATTGAATGCCTCGAGAAAGCCCAAATGCGACCTAATGCATTCTTCATGAATCACCTCCTCTACGCAGAGTTACGCAAACATGACGTTCTTGGCGTTTGGACTCGCTATCAGCAAATGTCTGCCACCGTTCACCCAGACCTGGAAACATTCGCCTGCCTCTGGGACTGCGGTAAAATCCAGTATGACCGCGCCCGACAACCATTCGACGCCAACTTCCCCACCGCTCGAGATCTCTTCCGAGAAATGATGGATTGGTACTTCAGCCTAACACCACGCAACCAAACCAACGTCCGCCAGCTCTTCTCAAAAGATCTCTACGACCAAATTCTCCGCTGCTTCTCCTTCTCTCTTGACCCGCAAGGTACGATCGTCGCCCTGCATTCCCTGCGGCATGTTTTCGGCTACATCCCAGACGTAGTCACAGGCCGCATCCTAATGTTTGAAGTTGTCCGCCTCCTCCCTCCCCTTCCTAAGGCAGATAACAGTAAGAAGGCCCGCCGCCAACGTTGTCGCATATCTATAAACCCGCGAAGTAAAGAAACCCTTCAACATGTGTCTAAATTGTTAGAAACGCTTCGTGATAGGAGAGAAACCCAATTGGCTAAGCAAGGTCTACTAATCGAGGATCTGGACACGAAGGCGCGGAAGGACCATGAGGTCAATCTGTATACAGATCTGCTGCGAGTTGTACTGAGCCGTTTGGCGAAGAATCCTCGTAAGATCGAGGATAAGATCCGCAAGGCAGCTATGGAGATGGGGGAGAGTGAAGAGTTGTATCTGGGAGAACCGGTGCCAGAAGAGTTGTTGCAATGAACCAGTCTTTATTCAATTTGTTTATTGTCTCGTGCTGGGAATGTCTCGTTTTGGTTTGGGCTGTTGCCTTTGTTAGAAGTCTTTCAGTCCAAATACCTGCCATTCCTCACTAACTGTTTTACATTTTCTTCCTTTTCGTGCATTACAGGGGACATATATTAATATTTTCTGATTCTGTCCCTTCTCATTGTTTCATTCTCATTTTCAGGGGATATATAGGTATCTTCGTTGACTATCTACTTAGAATTGTATCATAGAATTTTCTCGTTCAGTCTTGGGGGCGGAGAACGGCGTCATCGGGATAAAATTAAGGGGCATAACAGTCGCAAGATTTCCTGTACGATAGGACATTATAAAATTTTAGACATATTTACAACTGAAATGATGGTTTAATTCGCAGGGAAACTATTGTTCCCAATATGCTTGCCCCTTTTCCTGACATCCTGCGAACCGGCCTGCCCAGGTTTAGTAGCCAATAAAGCATTTTCCTAAACCTAAAATTCTATGTATACGTATATGCGAAGAAACCATTAATTCTCTGTGATTCTTCGTTCATCAGTGTCTGCAAAGCAAAAGAAAATGCAGAACAGTGTTGCTCGAAAATCATATAGAAGCCACTGACGCAATAATAATATGATGAACTGCGGGTATATCATCATGAAATTTATAGGATACATTGGCAAAGGTTGAAATAATAAAAATAGAAAGCCTCCGTCATTCGCTAGTAGATGCCAAAATGTAACACATAATTAACATAAATAAAAATTAAAGTAGGGATATTCTTTAGTTAAGAAGGCGGGACAAGGGAAAAGAAAATACAACAATAATAGGGCTAAAAAGAAGGGGACATTCGGAATCAGAACCTGCAAAAAAAGAGAAAGTATATAGCAAAAACCTCAACCCATTTTTCCTCGTCTAAAAAAAGCACATAAAAAAAGTAAGTAGAAAAAAAAGGGGACATAAAGGAACGACATCCAACCCATCTAATGCCCTGAGTGTGGTATTCGAACAAATACACTGTCGGACCGTTTAAACCTTCAACAACAGATTGACCCGGTCCTGCTAAATCGTCAGCTAACAATGGTCGACCAGGAAGCAGGAACTTCATAGAACAAAAGAGCAAGGGAAAGGACGAGAAATGACAAAGTATAACAACATCATTTCTTTCCCTTCTTCTTCTTATTCTTCCCACCCCCACCAACAGCTGGTCCACCGCTCTCAACCAGAACGGCATCCTCATCACTACTACTGGGCTTATTATGACCAGAAGCTGGGCCCGAACCGGTTTGTTTAACTGCAGAATCCTCTTCCAGCTCCTTCATGAATCCCTCTTGAATACTAGCCTTCTTCTTATTCCACCATTCCCTCTCCTCCTTAACGGAAGACTGGATCTCTTGAAGATGTGCGCGGAATGAGGCGTTGACGACCATTTCGTTGGCGGATTGGAAGATGGTTGTGCCCCAGTTGGGAACAAAAGTATTTGCCTAATGAAAAAGTTATAACCCAAACACCCAAATACTTCTTGCCTCTCCAAACATATTACTTTTCTCTTTGCAGAAAAAATGGTATGTAAGGTGCGAAAACAAAAAGTTTAAGAGCGAGATGCGAAACATACCTCTGCAACAACATCTCTAACTTCTGCCTCCATCTCCTTCTCCGCCCTCAAAAATCGCTGCCACAGATCATCCCCAACACTACCCTTCTGCAACAAACCAACGAGCGCTGGCTTCTGGCTGCGCAGCTGGATTAGACGACGGATATCTTCCGTCGCGCGTCGCAGAAGAGCTGCCTTGAGCACCGTTTCAGGTACAGCGGGTGCTTTTTTCTCCTTTGACGACGATGATGATAAGCTAGGTTCCAGATGCAGGAGAGAGAGGTATATGTCTCGTTGTAGGTTGGGGGGAAACCATGGTGTTAGGGAGGAGGCTTTCGCTAGATTGATAGGAAAACGAAAAGATATTAGTATACTTATGCCTCATGTCTCACAATTATAGAGCTGAACAGCGGATGTAAAATATAAGAATGCGCATTGGGGAAGTGGCCTACCAGCTTTCCGCTTCCGATACAGCGAGGAGAAAGTCGCTAAGGACCCTATGAGGATGCCTAGGTAGGCGAATGGGATGGATAGACTGAGCCAGTCCACCATCGTGTAAAGATAAAGAAGATATGTGAGGGTAAGTTAGGGGCCCAGGAAAGGGATTGTGACCACTCTTTCGCTTTCGTGTCCCCTTCTCGCTCTATCTCTCTCCCTAATGCTTGAGGTGCGAGTATCCTTGCTCTTCTAGCTATACCAATAATAGCTACAAGCCAATGTTCTGCGCAAATTTTCGCAACGGTATGATCATAAGGAAGGGGCCCACAAAAGATCGTTGGTAAAGAAAATGGACATAGAAAGCTTAACGACGCAGCGAAACAGGGCCCGTGAATTGAATAGTTGATCCAATCGGTCGACGGAGGAGGTTTTTCCTTTTTGTCCCTCAGAGTAAAATAAGAGGATGTATCGACCTAAGGATTTGCAAGAAGAACACATGAAGAATAGGTATCCTTGAGCTGCGCATTGTCGTTGTGCAGTCTCTGCGTTGCGGCATTTCTGTTTGTGTTGATCTGGCTGCATGGATGATCGAAGTTGGATGGAGTGATTATGTAAGATGACACCTGGGCAATATTGAGTCTGGACCTGGACCACGCTAATCCTTTTTCAGCTGGGAGTAGGTCTTTTAGGGCTGTGCGATAGATATATGGCTATGCAGACGAAATTTGTATATATCTAACTATCACTCAGATCAAAAGGCAAGTACACAAGCTCCATATGTATCGTAGAACAATAAATAAGGTGTATATGAAAGAGGTGGAGAGTCGATCGGGACCAAGCACATAGGTACCTGAAGAGAGAAAACGAACCCCAGAGACAAGCCAGGTGCGGTATCGGAGGGGAAAATAGTAAAAGGAGAAATTAGAAAAACTGCAAATAAACAATTTCCCATCGATAGATACCTCGACAAATATGTCAGTTTCCCTCATTAGAAAACAATCTAATACAAGCCCAGAGGCTTGCTTAAATATATTAAGAAACCACACTCAACAAACGCAAGACAAGACACCTAATCAAGGAATCACACCAAAATCCTGCATAGACTGTATGTCCATCAACACTTCCTCAAAAGTCTGCTCCACCGCCTCCGCAACCTCCAACCGATTCCACTCCCCACGCATCCTCCACACACAATCCATAAGACTCGTATTAATCTGCTCCAACTGCTCCACAGAAAGCCCGTTGGTCCTCTGCGTGAATGTCTGATGCAGCGATTCGAACCGGTGGTTATCCACAATCAGTTTGCCAGCAGGTTGATGCTGTGTCGTCCCGTCGTCATTAAGAAGCTCCCTGACGCGCGACTGGCGGGGTGTCGTTGTTGTCTTAACTCCACTAGCATCGAATGGTGGTACTCGCGGCTGCGAAAATGGTTGCGAGAGTTTGCTGTTATTGCCCTGCGACTGACTGCCATTTATGAAGCTGGGTTGGGAGTTTACAAAATCCACGATGCCGGAGAGCGGTGTACCCCACGCTCCACTTTCGGCCTGCTGCGTATCAGGTATAGGCTCGTCTCCCGATAAACGGTCCGGATACGGATTCAGATCGGGATACTCCTGCCTTGCCAAACCACCCTGTGAACTCTGGGTCTGCAGGTTCGGCACATCTGAAGGGCCGGAGTTCTTTTTGTCTGACGTTGTTTGTGTAGTGGAGGCATCGTTAGCATAATCTCCTGGTTGTGAGCCGGGGGCCATGGGAGTCATTGGTCCCTTCTGTGATAAGTTGGAGAGACCAGATTGCTGCCGGAGCTGTTGGGAGGGTGCTGTGTAAGAATGCGGCGGGCGTGGTTGGGCAGATTGCCCAAAGGAGCTATTCTCCGTATTGTTGTGTTCGCTATGCTGGACCTCATCGGAATTCGACATGTGGATATCGCCATCGACGCAGACGGAGCCATAGCTGATCACAGGGCGGGTAGCAGTTTCAATAACCTCAGCGCCGCCATTAGTATTAGGCCCATGTCCATTTGTAATGGTGTTCTGGTTGGTCACTCGTATGAGTGTGGTGGGTTCTGCTTGAATTGCAGGATGAGGTCCACTAAAGGGTTCGCCCAGAATAACCGGTCCAGACGAAAGATTCGATTTCTCCGTCATATTTCCGTGCGGAACGTTCATTAATGGCGGAGGGGCCATGATACCATCCCCACCTGCAGCTCGCTTTAACTTCTCAAGCGCAACTCTCTCCCTCTCAAGCTCACGAAGGTAAACTTGTTCGCACTCAGTCACCAATGCGGGATCTGATTGTTCCAAGATCCAAATATCTACCTCAACGTTTGATAGCAGCTCGTTTGCCTTTAGCTGCCTATCCTGGTCACCGGACTGTCGTGCATCTTTTGCGATCCGCTTGATGTCCGCCAAAAAATCCTTCGGGCGCTTATAATACCCATTCGACAACCGCTTCTCAATCGTGACAATTTCCATATTATAATAAAACTTTCCAGTAACAGTTTCACGTAAACCGGGTACACCATGTTTGTCAACACCCTTCTCAAACGGACGGAAGGTAGTTCGCTGTTCCAGAGGTATATCACTGGTTACGACATTCGGGTCCTCCTCCTCATACAAATACCCAATCCGATTCTCATCAATAATCCCAGTCCTGAATTTCTTATACTTCTTAATCTGATCCATAATCGGCTGAATCTTAATCTTCAAAATATTCAGAGTATGCCTATCCTGTTTCTTCTGCGCCTTCAACTCCTCCCTTGTCAGAGGAGGAGGCCGGCGCGGGGGTGCAGGAGGGGCTTTTTCTAACTGTTCTAGCTTCCTCTTCTTCCTATTCTCTGGATCAGGAAAGTCTGGTGGTGCACTCTTAATGTACTTCATCAACGTGCCGAAGAACTGATGCCGCCACCTGCTCTCAGGAGGATGCAGGTCGAACCGATTCTTCTTCGAAAAACCAAATAGATTGCGCATCATGGCCGAATCGGTATTATCGCCTTCATTTTCATGTACACCAAGGAGTAACACAGGGTCCGTAGGCGGGAGCGAACGTAGTAAACCAAGAAATGTCGAAATAACAGTTGGACCAACTGTGTCATACCACGACTGCACGTTGGGTATATATATGACACTGGGTTTGTATCGTTTCACCTCCGTAAACAATTGGACCAAACTGGCTTCAGGAGATCTGGTGGAGTCACTTATCAACGTGGGTAGATCAAACGCCTGCACATGGAGACCCTCAAAATGATTCAGCAGAGCTGCCGCAATATACTGTTGTCCCATCCCCGGGTGGCCCCAGATGAGCAGTCTGGGTCTAAAAATGCGCGAAGTTTCAAATTCCAGCTGCATCCGCTCCCTCTGAAACCCAGCTGGACCGGCAGGTTCTTCGAACTGCGCCTCTTCCAAAGCAGTAAGCTTCTTCTTCTGTGGAAGAATCTCTGCAAGGATTCGCTTTATCTCACGCAATGGGTTTTCTAGGAGAGGCGCAACGATTGGAGGTAAAGGCGAAGCACCAGTTGAGGCAGATCGCTCCGATGAGGGCACCATCTTCTTAATAGATATCATAAAATCCTTTGGCAGAATCTCTATCTTCTTCGGGTCAATTAGGAGCTTCTCATTTGATCTATAAATCTGTGGGTATCTGCGCTGCACAGCATTCAGTGCTGCTTCTGTACAGAGCGCGCGCAGATCCGCACCACCATACCCCTTTGTCAGTTCCGCTAGTTCATTCTTAATTTCGTCAGGAAGAGGAGGATCCCAGCCTCGAGTATGGATATCCAGAATTGCTCGTCGGGCCTCAGTATTGGGTAATGGGAAGTAAAATTCACGATCGAATCGCCCGGGACGTCGTAGGGCAGGGTCAATAGAATCTGGTCGATTCGTTGCGCCGATGACAATAACCTGGCCTCGGCCATCCATTCCATCCATCAATGCTAGAAGTGTGGAAACAATAGACGAATGGATTTGTTCCTGTTTACTTGATCTGACGGGTGCCAAACCTGTATTCATTCAAATCAGATTATATAGCCATTTGAATGAGAAATCCACACATAAAGAAAACTTACCATCAATTTCATCGAAAAAGATGATGCTAGGTTGTGTCTTGCGAGCTTCATCAAAAAGCAAGCGGAGCTGTCTCTCTGCCTCACCCACCCATTTACTAAGTGCATCTGCTCCCTTTCGCATATAAAATGTCACTTTCCTGCCCTCTGTGCTCACACTGGACGCAAGAGCCCTAGCCAAAAGCGTCTTTCCCGTACCAGGAGGTCCATGGAACAAAACTCCACGAGGGGGAACAATATGAAATCGGTGGAAAATCTCCGGATAGAGTAAGGGAAGCGCAACCATCTCCTTCAGTTGGTCGATATGGCCTTGTAATCCTCCAACACTATCAAAGTTGACGTTCGGATCAATACCTAGGGGATCAGAGTCGGCCAGGGCTTGTTTGTCTTTCACCTTTCCAAAATTTGCTGGAGTGCCTGACAAACCCGGAGCCGTATCTGTTCCAAACGCTTGACCAAGGGGGGGAATATTGAACCCAGGTGCATGCCCAGAGGTGGGTGTCATGCCTGCCATGCCACCAACCATTGGCCTTTGACCAGAATCATCATCGCTACTATCACTGTCCACTCCACCCGCAGCACCCGCTCCCGTTGGACCACCTAGAAGGGGTGCAGGACCACCGGCGCCTCCGAAGGGGCCATAGGTTGAGAAGAGAGTCCTTTGATAACCGCTGCCTCCCGCGCGACCACGACGAGAGGGGGACCCAGAAGCCATGTCCTCTTCATCAATAGGCAGCACGATCTCTGGCCTAACAATTCTATAATCAACCAATTTTCGATTCCGTCGGGGCTTATCTTCAAAGACAATATCGTTCTGTGCTCTCCGGCGACGTCGTTCAGGTCTTAACTCTGCCAGTTCTTCTGCAAGTTCGCCAGCCTCTGACTCCACTCGAGTTTGGGATTGAGACTGGCGTTTCCGTAACCTGGATCGACGGTCATTGCTGCTTTCATAAGCCTCGTCCGCATTTTGGCTACCCTTGCGTGGCGAGGGTTGAGAAACTTCCGACTCAGATAAATCCTCGTCATTAGCTTCATCATCATTGGGCTCAAAATCGCTCCCATCCTCTTGCGGTTGTCGCGAACTTTTTGTCGCACTGGCAGTTTTACGTGCGGAACGGCGAGTAAATCGACCTACTACCTCCACCGTCTCAACCGAGGTATTACGCTTTCGATTTGACCGTGTGCATTTTCCCGAGCGAGGGCTTTCTTCATCGTCATCATCATGCTTTTCTTTTTCTTCTTCATTTCCCTCGCCTTGGTCTGACTCAGGTACGAAGCCTCCTGCATCACCATCCATCTCCGCATCCATCTCCTCAACATGTTCTCCAGTTAGATGATCGCCCTCGAACTCCCCATGCTGGTCGCTCTCCAAAATTTCAATCTGCGATGCTCCCGGTTCTGCAATCATCGCATCACCCTCATGTTGCCCTGGCTGCATTGAATCACCTTCCTCATCGATGGTGCTTTTGGATGGAACATGGGCAGGTGTTGCAGCACCCCTGCGTGTCCGAGTGGCCACTTCTGGACTTCGTGTAGCTTTACGTACCGTCTCCACATGTCGCCCAGAGCCAGTAAGTGCAACAATATCCTCACTCTCATTGTAATTGCGGCGCGTAGTACGTCTGGTAAATTGATATTCAGTGGGTATCGTATGGTCCTTGCTAGCACTACGACCCCGGCGATTTCTGGTTGAGCGTGCAGAGGTTGGCTGGGTTGTGATAGGAAGCTTCAACACGAGTCGTTTGGTAGCTCTGCCTTTATCAGCATTTCGCGTTTCCCCTCTCACCTGCTGTTCATCGTCCTCCTCCTCCTCCTCCTCTTCTTCCCCAAACATTTCATCGTCCTCACCAGAAGACGAAATCTGATAGTTGGCTTTCTTCGCTGCGCTTCTCTTAATGGATCCTCGCGCGGTTCTTTCTAGGTTGGGATCATCCTCATCCAATCCAGAATCGACCGAAATGTCATCGTCACTGGTGAATATGTCATCCTCGTCCTCATCATCATCCTCCATGGAGTTTCTCCTGCGCCGTTTAATAGGTCGTTTCTTCGACTTGGACTTTGAGGCTGTAGCCTTCCGGGCAGTACGCGGTTTGGAATCACTGTAGTCGCCATCGTTGGAATCCGATTTCAACGCGATCTCCTCTAGAGTACGTTTCGAAGCGCGCGGCATGATGTCAGATGTGTCCGCGGAGTGTTGTGGAGGTCTTTTTTTCGACTGCCATGTTAGCAAATTGTTGTAATTGATATTTCGTGATGTATTGTAGATATTCCCTCCCAAGATAAAGCGACCATTGCTTATCACAAAAAGGACCAGGATGAAGACGTCCACGTACAAGAAGAGTTGATGATGGTTAGAGTTGGAATTTGGAGTTGGAGGATGTTGAGGTAAGAGCAAGACCGGACAGCTGCAGTTGCCGCAGTTGGAGCCAACACACGTTTATGACTCTCCTCCCAGAACTCGAACGCTGGAAACGGATTTCATCAGAAAGCCAGGAATATCCTTATTCAAGCCAGCGGGACGAGAAGGAGGTGGGTATCAATGCGGTTGTTGTTGTGAATGGATTTTTCTCTGTTTTCCCCTAAGATATGCACGCTCGAGCAGACACGAATACCAACACGATAATCTTAACCGAGGATGAAAGGAGTGAAAGGAATGGATATAGCAGCCCAAAGAAGAGGTTAATGGTATCTCCGAGTGCGTACAGGTCTACATATGTTGTTGTTCTGTTGCTGTCTCTCTCACCGCGCTCCTGCTTTGGGTCAGAGAGCAGAGCCTCCTCATGGGTCCTCCCTGCTGTTTTTGGCGCGGTGGGTGCTTCAGCCCCCGACCCGCTAGTCTTAGCCAGGCATGGCATCTGCTGACTAACACCACACTACAGACCGATACAGTTTAGCGGGGATATGGGCTGGCTGGCCTTGGCGCCACTTGCCAGAACTGAGAACCGCTGAGACCAAACAAACCCGTAGCTTTTCGTGGTCGAAACGCTCCCACGGGGCTTTTTTGGCTCAAAGTTGAACCCCTCGAATATCGCATCTTTCGCCCATATCTTCAAGAGTCCACCACCAAATTCCACCATAACCATCATACCTTCCGAATTCCACATATTTTGGGAGCTTGCAAGGCCCCGCAAACAGGATTTTGAGGTTGTTTTGGTCCGGAATCCACCCTGCACCAATGTCTCCGGCAGACTTTTGCAATCCCATCTTGAAGCTATCAACATGCAAGCTCCCAGGGATCGACGTCAGGGACAAGGTGCGGCTCAAAAAACAAGCTTATCGTCCTTAGGGTTTGCCGGTCGCCTGTCACTCCACTCCACTCCGCATCCCACAACAGCGCGCGCCTCGGGGCGGCTCTCCCATGGCACGTGATCGCTTCTGAACAGAATCCAACTGGTTTACCTCGAAATTATGCCCTGCGGGATTTTGACAGTGGTGTGTAAATGAATGCTAGGTAATAAATGCTACTTCTAGCTGCCTCTATAATTCTCGATGTAATGCAACCGGCGTCATCCCATAGGCATTTCCAAATGAGCAGTCTGCCTTTGCAGCAACGGATTTTCGAACCTTTCGTGATGGCAACTGGCTAAATAATCAAAAATTCGAAATGCCTCATTAACGCGAACCAATTCCGAGCGTAGGTAATGGATGAACGGTAGTTATCTAGTGAAACTTGATTTATAAGCATCCACCTAGTTAAGTATTCAGTATTGAACATGGCAAAACCGGTTCTTCATATTACAGCGCTCCTAAATTGAACCAGGGTCTAACTACCCGACACCATTGCAGGATATTGCTTTGAAAAGCACGTACAGTATCTTTATTACCACTTAGCTAACATCTCCTTAACTACTGGTTAAGAAGCTCTGGTTGGAAAAGGGTGGGATGCATGTCTTCGAACGGGCCACCGGAGTGAACTGGTTTACCCGACTAGATTCCATTTATCGGTGTATATTTGGATGTATCTAGATAAAACTCTATATAGACACTATCTATGCCAGAGTAGTGATTTGAGTTAGCGGACAATAATAGAAACGGCACATATAACCCTGATATCAATTGTTAACATCTTACGTTAGTGGAGGGTTTTTTCAGGGTTCGCAGGGGGGGAAAGAAGGCGATGAGATGATCAGAGTTAGCACGGAAATCCTGCCATCTACCGGCTATCGATTTCCCATCACCGACTCCTCAATGCGAACGAAGACTGTGAAGGAACGGGCTCAAAATGTGCCAAAGCCTCCCCTGGGCCGCGGCATGTAAACCACGTGATCTCGAACTCTTGGCACCTCCGTGGCCTCTTTTCTGCCGCTCACCTCTCCGCCGCCAATCTTCAATATTCCGTATATCTCGCTCAACATACGGAGCGGAGACCTTCAACACCTAAAAGGGGTCCTCTTTATAACTCTCCCACCATGTTTCGCTACCTAATGCCTAAACCACACAATTCTCTCCTACTCCCCTCATCCTCAAAACCATATATTTTGAAACACTCATTCACCCGCCGAGCATTTACCTCAACACCTCCATCCCTCAATAATACAGCGCAACCCACCACCAAAACACCCTCGCCACATGTAAGTATATATTACAACGAAATCTTTCCCATTCTAGCTTTTAATGTTTCTCTGCCCCGCCAATGTGGATGTATATCGTCCCCACGCCGTATCATTGCCCCATCATCTAACCATATTTTATAAACGGCGCCACACGCGCGGTTGAAATGACTCCCTCTACAGACCGCCATATACAAAAACTTTGGACGGGCCTTTGCTAAGGTCTTTCTGGGCGGAGTGCTTACGTATCAGATTATTTATTGGGCATGGTTGAGGTTGGAGGTGGATGAGGAGAAGGTGGAACGGAATAGTAAGTTAACCCGTTCATATTTTAGTCATTCGTTTGTTCTTTTATAGACGTTACTTCGAGTGTGGGGGATGTTGTGGTCAAAAGGAGGAGATGAGACTATGGAAAAAAGGCAGGAACTTTGGTAGCTAATTTATCCCCTTTTCCATGCGCAGAAGAAATAGTGGAGTTGGAAAGTAAAGCGCGAGAGTTGTTTGCGAAGAGTAATGGTTAAGGAATAGCAGAGGCTTTCCAGCCTTGTAAAGGTGTGGGTTGAATGGCGCAGAGTTATGATTGTTCTGTTTGCTAACGGTGTTTGTATCATTGTTGTTGGGCTTGTATATTATCGAGATATCTGCACTAACTACACATATGATTTTGTGTAGACTTGCAGCATTTATTGAGACTAGTATTTATAGAATCTTTGGGAGAGAAATACGAACAAACCATTCCGCCAAGTGCATGTTTGATGTGTGGGGGAGTGTATTCTAAAGTTTTGATTATTTGACCAGCTTTAAGGCTTCTCCAGTTGAAATTTTGACCCCACGATGAGGTGCGTAATCTGTAATTAAGGATTGCTCAATAAATATCAAATCTAGCAAAAGTCAATATACTTTACATATACCCCAACCCCGCTTTGCCAATAGCCTCAAGATCAGCACGAATCTCCCACACATCTGCACCAACGCGACTCGCTATCTCAGCCTTTCGCTGAGTGCCCAAATCAAGCCATTTCTGCACCAGATCACCATCAACCATACCCCGTCCACCAATACCGTCGCTCTCAACAGCCCTGAATGCGCGGGGGTTGAGGCCACAGGGATGCTCGAGGGTATTAATCATCTGGGATTGCAGCGCTGATAGCCGACGGTAAGCCATTTCGGAGACAGGGGTTATGAGAGCGATTGATCCCGTTTCAGAGGTTACAAGCACTTGGTGGAGGGGGCCGCTTAAATCGAGATCCATGGCGTTCGCTTCGGTTTCGGGGCCTTGCGAGAGTACTGATGTTCTAGGGAGTAAGGTAAGTGTTGAGGCGAATTGGCCTGTGTGAAAGGTACTGCGATGTAATAGTCGATCACCTTTCGCGGAGCCCGGGTCTGTTAAGAAATTGTTAGAATAATTTTCATTGTGTTTGTGATAGTGGAAAATCAATTGTTTCCCCTACCTTCAGGGTCATACTGTAAAACATGTATGTTACAGTCATCATCTGCGACCATGATATAAAGGCGTTTTCCATCAGGAAGGAAGTCGGCTGCCATTACTTGGAGACTGCCGTCATCTTTGCTGAAAAGGGATAGTTTATACGGCTCTTCCTGTAAATTTGGGGTTAGTCACTGATATTGCGCCGGTATTTGTAAGAGAGAAGTAATTACAGAATATCCCGCAAACCATAGGCCCTTCAGAGCATCCCCCATGATGCACATACCCGTACCCTTGAGCTCTTTAAGCACGCTGACATAGCATTGCATATCCATAAATGCCACCGGCAGAAGACTACCGTCTTCCTTGAGACCCCTAACTATGCATTTCTGGCCTTGGGCAGCAATCAAAAACCCTTGTCCGCCAATACCAGAGAGAGATGTTATGGCACCTTTAACTTCTTCCTTTGCGATTAACTTTAGTTTTCGATTGGTCTCTGGGCGATCAACTTCCGGGACCACTTTGATAACCTCGAAAACGTAAATGCAACCACGGGCAGCGATATCTTCGCCCCGCGTCAGCGCTGTGCCCACCGCAATCATTTCCTTACGCTCATGTGTGATTTCGGACGCTTCGAGATTCAAGCATTTGACGCACATCACACGCTCTGAAGTGCGAAGTTGATAACTAGTTGCGTGTTAAAAAGATAAGTTCACGATGGCAATATATAGTATGAGACTGTCGTACCTATCGATAATTGACCACGTCCTCGGGTTTAGAAGTTTAACACTCCCTTTATCGATCTGGGGAAAGAAAGATATAACTATAAAATTTTAATTAGAATTTGCCTCGCTGTTGTTAGAAAGAAAGAAAAAAAAAAAAAGGGTGTTATCATACCCTCATTTCGCCATTCCGGGTGGATTTCATCATCCTCGGGTAGTTTGAAGTCAACTTTTTGGCTCGTTCCTAAAACATAAGTTTCCGACGAAGAGGAATATTCGACGCTATCCACCTGCTCTCCAAGGCCAATTTTTCGTGCAGCCCACGAGCCATCGAAATGAGTGTTTCTTGGAAATCGACACATTCGCACAACATTCTAGGCAGCCAAAGTAAGTTTCTCATCGTAAATATGACGGAAGAAGGCACTAACATCAGTATCAACGTAAACGAACCCTTTCTCACATGCTGGGATATTAAAACTACTCAATGAATGGACTGTTTTGCCTCTAAGGTTCATAACATGTGGAATGCTCGTCGCCGATTTTATGATGAAACAAGGGGAGTTTCCCGGCATAAACACGGTTCGATAGCCGCATACATCCCCCAAAGCACGTAATGGTCTCACTAGCTGGCGATCGCCGTCCGAGAGATTGCCCAAGTTTGATTCAGGGAGGAATTTTGGAAAATGGTGATTGGCGATTTTCACGAACCGTAAATCAGACAGTCGTTTTTCGGTGGATTGGACAGTATGGTATGGCTCATATAATATGAGCTCATTGCTGTTAGATCGTAGCTAAATGTGTGTCCGGTAAGCTTGAAGTCAAAGTAGAAAATATGAGCCAGGAATGCAACACTGACAGTTAAATATGGGGTTCTGCTGACCGAATCCCCAAGGTCTGCGACTAGAATCTCCGTTAAACACTCTCGATATGTTGTTCGTCTTGGGGGAAGCTCTGTTGGAAGTATTGGTGGCAAGAGGTCAACGCTTTCGGCGGTATAAACGGGATCTTTGGCATTTGGGAGATGGAATATCTTCAAATACGGTGAGTTTGTTTCTCTGATACTGGAAAAACCCATTATGACTATGTTCTTACATAAAGCTTGGATTCGGAGTTAAGGAGAAATAAAAGAACATTGTCAGATGGCTTTCTGTTTGGAGTTCCTTCATAGGACAAAAACGATCGGTATTTATCTTGGTAGAGTGATCCTGATATCCATGTTGTTGATTTTATGATACCATCTGTTTCAATTTCATCTAAGTCGCCGGACTCGTCTGCTTGAAGAAGCAGAATAGAGCTGTCATCGCGGATAATAAGAACATAGGGTTCAGCAAAGCTTGCATGCATCACAGATCTCTCTTCGCTTGTATCTTCATCCCACACTGGATATATTTGAGCGAGACCAAGACCTAAATGCAAATTAGTTATACCATAATCAAAAGTAGCGGCACTCTCTTAATAACGGGATGAGTAGAAAAGGAAAGTAAATATCGAAAATTGATTTTAATCTGATACTCCTGGAAGTAATCAAGGCAGCCAACATACCACTGTCGTAGCTTCGGACTTCACCCTTAAGAACTTGTACCACTCTGGTGCCACCAGCGAGTGTCCCGATGTCAATGGTTCGGTCCTCGTTGGGGTTAAACTCCGGCGCTCGAGTCTCCTCCAGTCCCCCACTACTCATTTTATAGACAACTGACTTTTCTTTGTCGAAACCTTTGGACTTGGATAACAAAAGATAGTGGTCATAGTTACTCCCGGCATTTGCAGGAAGTGATCCACTTTGTGATGGCAGTTTAGGATCTTTGACATGCACAGACCGTACTCCATCTGTGTCTTTGATCATCAAAGAATCAATAACATACGGATCAATCTCACGCCTGAGAATTGCAAGACCTCCAGCTCTACCATATCCCTGGGTTGTGACGAGTTCTAAATATGCTGACAAACTGGAAACCGACTGACGCTTATCCTTATCTCGTGAGCCGGGAGGTCGTCCTAGGGTAATATCTCTCATAGGACCTAGATTCCAGAGGCGGTCGTGGATTCGGAAGATGTAATCGTTGAGGCTGGTGCCATTCATAGATGCAGTGTTGCGGGGATTAATCCCCGGTGTCACCGGAGTGGCGTACAGGTCATCTTCATATGCATCTTCTTCATCATCATCATCATCATCATCCTCTTCATCCTCGGATAGCTCCGCAACGTTGTCCTCACCAGTTTCTGGCGCTGGAGACACCTTTGCTCCTGCTGAAAGTCTTGACCAGCCAATGAGTATGGAATCCCCTTCTTCGCTACCGAAAAAGATTTTGCCTCTGCCAACAGGAGCCGAGCAAGAGGGCTTAGTTCTTAAAATGGCGCCTCCGGCCTGGTCAGAAACTGGCCGCAGATATATCCCCGATACCGATCGTCCATCAAGTTTGAAACTGACCACCGCCATAACACCATTTAGCAACACTAATAACATATCACAATTTTCGGTTCCCAGTTGCTCCACAACACAGCCTTCCAAGCGCATTTCCAAATCGGATTGGTCAGCCATCGAGAAGCTGGAGGCTTCCCTCGCAAATTCATTCACTCCCACAGCATTAGTCCTTCCCGCTTGGTCGACATGGACGAGTTCGTTAGATCCAACTAAAAGCGCACCTCCAACCGGCGGAGGTAGGGGTATAACTTTGAATAAATCATTGGGGAGCCGTGGAACAGAGAGCAGAGTGGTAGAAGCTCGCTGTTCCAAGTCCAGGGTGAAAACGGAGTAAAAGACTACATCTTTTCGATCATGTAGCAAAGCAGAGGATGCTGCCACTTGTGAGTATAAAATGCCAAATGTAGGTTCCCTATATTCGTATAAAAACGCTAGACTAATAGGGTGGAGCATCGAAGGCTCCAGCGCTGCTATGGGGAGCACAAAGGACGATGCATAAGGGGTTTGGTACACTGGCCCATCAGGCTTATTTGCCTCATCCCGTTCTTCAGCGGTATGATTCGTATCTATTTGGCGTTCATCATCATGATCTGAATCAAAATCATCCATAACTAAATCATCGCCCATCTGATGGAAAGGCAAGATAGCCAAGTTTTTTTTCCCAAAGTTGAGTACCGCACATCTGCTACTAGGGTCGACTGTCAAATGACTAGGGCAAGCGGCAAGATTCGGAGTCCATGGGCTGATGTGAACATCATCTCTCTCGTAATAATGAATAGAGGTTGTGGAAATCTGGTGTTTCTCTGGATCCCACTCAATTAGGCTGAGTTTAGCGTTCCTGGTTGCAACAAGGATAGCCTCTCCACCACTTTTCGAATCAAGTATCTTCACTCGACCCAAGTCGGTGATAGTACCGGACAGAGCATATTCAGCCACTAGAACTAGTTTGGAGTACTGGGACCGAGTTTTCTCATCGGACTGGCCAGGACTAGATCCGTAGACAACGTTAACCAGATTGTACACCTGGAGTAGAGTAGTCTTTGCCACTATCAAGTTGTTAGATGTCCCCGAGAGAAAGGGAACGGACAAAACATGCGTTACCCCTGAAGGCGGCAACAGCTCTGTATAACATTGCATGTTTAAAGGTAATCAATATCAACCAGGGCCCTGAACTTGACAGCCGTCGAAGGCTTGCTCTCCTAGTTCAGACAACAGAGCACTAGCTGACCAAAGCATTGAAAGAAAATGGAATATGGAAGCCAGACAAGACAATTCATAAGGTTGTTTAAGGTGTTGGTTGTTCGTCGGTTTCGCATTAAGATTGAAGCTCTTTCTGCTTAGCTAAATGGCATCTTTCCAAAATTGGTTTAGCGTACAGTTAGCTCGTAAGGTTTCTGCTAGTCCTCTTATGGTTAAAATTTCTCGTTTAAACAGTCACGTGGTGTCATCCCGAAGAAGGAAATAATGACGACAGCTTCAAATGCGATATCAAGTTTCAATAATAAGAAAACATCGAGAAATTTTGATATTCATCCTCCATACATGAATGTTTAGAGATATGATTTGGTTTAGCTCTTGTTTCGTGCTACCCATGAGAGTTTTGCGCTGAACTTGCTTTCCAAGATCAAGTGTTAGCCTTCGTTGAAGCCAGAGATACCCATGAACCACCGGTGATGCCACTCGCCATATATCCGCTCTCGAATTTCTAGATCTACCGTTCATTATGGCATTACTACAGTCTACTTTGATATGGATAGTATACGCGATCGTTGTTGTTATCCTCATTGCAGTGGCATCTATCTTCTTTTACGTCTACCAAACGCCCCGCGAGCGGTCTGCGTATGTGACTGCAGTTTGCATATTTACCCTCACGGCGTTGCTTGCCACAGTGCTTTTACTACCAGTTGATGTGGCTTTGGTATCGTCGACCACTTCATCCAAGCAGGGCAGAAGAAAGCCTTGGGCAACGCAGGATGAGGTTGACAAAATCACTTACTCATTAACAGTCGTTTATTACTCCCTTTACTCTCTGGACGCGGTGCTCTGTCTCCTAGTGGTGCCGTTCACTTACTTCTGGTACGAAGAATATGATGAAGTTGCAGCTGAAGAAGGCTTGCAGACCTGGGGGAAGAGATTTCGGGGAGCTTTCAAATACACCATAGCCTTTATTCTGTTCGCAGTTACCCTGTTTCTCGTTGGATTTTTTGTTCCTGTGGCGCGAAACAGGGAAGCGCCAAACTTTGATCTAGATTATTTTAGAAAGTTGTTAACAGAAAATCGTACGTTCTTTCACCAACCTTCCCTTCCCGAGAAAACACGTGTACACTGGTCATGAATTCAAATGTTAAATAATGCTAACTTTCCAATCCAGACGGGGAACGAGCTCTAACCTTTGGCCTTGGTTTGCTTATCACCATTGGAATTATTCTCTACGTTTTGTACACATCTGTCGGTTTTGCCTTGCTCCCTGTCTCTTTTATCAAAACGGCCCCTTCAATTTCCAGCCCAACCCTCAAAGCCAGCACACGCTTCGCGGCTAGAGGAGAATATCGAGCGCCAGCGGCAGTTAGAAGGCCGATGTGGCGGAAATCTGGACACCCTATCTTCAAAGCAGCGAAGGGAACTTGATTCTCTAGTGCGGGAGGAACGAACTTTACGACGACGGCAACGCTTGGCAGCAGAGGCTCAACAAGACAGGGGCACCTGGCTCTTGAAAGCGTGGTTTAAGATTTCGGCGATCTTCCGCCCGCTTAAACTCCTTGGTGGTCTTCTTTTACTTGGTATCGCGGTATTAATATGGTGCTCCATGCTCCTAACCGGCATAGACAAGGCGAATAATTCCGTCTGCAAAGGCCAATGCGGCTATATCTTGGGCAAAATAAATATTTTCAATCCCATCAACTGGGCATTCGTCGAGTCTGCCAAAACCTTCCCAGTCGATTATGTTCTTTTCGTTCTCCTAGTTCTCATTTTCTTCTGCAGCTCCATCGTTGGAATCGCTGCAATAGGAGTACGCTTTTTCTGGATCAGTATATTCCAGATCCGCAAGGGCCATACGTCACCTCAGGCACTGCTTATCGCGACGGTGATGTTGACTCTGATCACGCTTGCACTCAATTATTCCATCTCAATGATCGTGGCCCCGCAGTATGCGACATACGGCCCACAGACCTTCTGCGACCATCCACCCGAGTATCCCGGTGAACAGCCGGATTGCACAGGGCTCGAACCTCTCATTAAACCTTGCTCTGAACTAGCAGAGAGCCCTTCTGCTAAGAACATTTGCACACCGTCGGTTGTCAGCACATTCCTGAACCGCATCACGTTGAATTTCCCAGTCTTCGGCATATTCGATTTCTGGGCGCAGTTCTTCTTTCTAGGTACGTAAAGATAAAGGAATCTAATACCACCTCTAAGCGTCCACAGTTTGTACATAACAGATGAAACAAGAAGTAGAATATCGAAATAATTAACATGTTCTTCCGCTGCAGGATTTTCCCTGATCGCCTTTCTCGTCATGTTATTCCGCACACCAAAGCTGGACGAGCGGCAACTCGACGAGGATGCGGAGGAAGCAGAGGAGGAAGGGCTACTTGCAGCTACGGGGAGTAGATTCGGAACTACATGGGAAGATATAACGGGACGAGCAATCACGGCCGATATTTCCGGTTCGGCTGGTCGAGGAACTCGGGAGTGAAAGGGGAGTGGAATGTAGGATTTTAATGCATATTTGATACACTAAGTTTTGCTTGTGGATATTTAGCCTTTTTCTGGTGCTCTGATAGAAGTGTGTTGTATATGGTTTTCCTACGAGTCTGAATGGTTTGGCAGGTCTGGATGGCTATCAAGGAAGGCTTAGTTGGACTAGGTTGGTTTGTGCTTGGGGGAGTGAAAATGGAAACTTTCGTAGTAACACTGTAGTTATCTTGGGCGGTTGTGGCCGGAAGAGGTGATTCCTCTGGTATCTCAGCCGGTGATTGGATTTACACACGTTGTGCTCAGGTTATTTTGCACAGATTGCTGTTGAGATTTTCTATTCCAAACCTGAACGGACCAATTATTTTGCACCTCAATAATTTCCCAGTTAATGAATTTGTCATATAGCACATATAGATGATACTTCATGGAAATAAAAGGTCAATATATCTAAAATATGAGCGTGGTAAATATGCAACTTACTCCACCAGTTCCAACGAATACCTCGTGAACAGCGAATGGGAGCAAACTATGCTATGCCCCAAACTCTGCTCTTTAAATGAAAAAGAGAACCCCTCTGATTACCTCTCCCTCTCAAACTTTACTTTCCGATGCCCCCTCTCCTCCACACTCCCTTCGTCAACATGTGTCTCCATCCAACAACGAATACAATACAACAACTCCGAATCGCAATCAAGGCATTTTATCGTCGCATCGTCACTGCAAATACAACACCAAAACGGCTTCAGATTATCATCGACGTCTTTGCAGCGTCTGCTGTGCCGATTATTGATGATATGGATAGGGCTTTCTGCGGGTGCAAATTTTGGTGCGGAAGGGAGGTCTGGTGAGGTGGTATCTAGTTCGGGTTGGTGTTCGTGTCGTTGTGGGGGGATAATGCTAGATGGGGTTGCGGGGAGGTCTAGGATAGATGATAGTGAGGTTGACGGAGGTGCGGGTGCTTCTGTATCTGGCTTTGAATTGCTTCGGGTTGTGGTTTTGTCGGGCGTTTTGGGTTCGGAGGGAGCGGCTGCTGATGACCCTGCCGCCTTTGTTGGATTATCCTCCGCACTGACCTCATCAAGAACCCTTTGGAGGTAATCATCAGCATCCCTATCTTCTGAGCAATCATTACTATCACTTGCTTTGGTGGCAACTGGCTGCGGCGAATGTCTGACATGGTTTTTCAGGTCCTGGTACTGGGAAGCAGAATGTAAAAACCCCCTAGTCTCCCTCAGCAAACATTCAACATCCTCTGCATTATCTAGCTCTTGGGATTTTTCCCAGATCTTGCTTTGCAGGTCTGAAAGAAGTCCTTCTATCTCATCTCCAGATGTAATGAAAGAGCCTATATCGTCTTGCTGGAGTTCAGATGGCCCTAATGTAGTGGAGGTACCAAGTCCGATGAAACGCGTCGACAAGTCGCCAACCGGTGCTTCCTGCGCATCTGTATCCGAAAATTCAATGGGGAGACTACAAATTGTCAATCAAAACCATTTATTAAGCGCGCGAACTTGACTTCGAGAATGTTTACGAACGGTGTTCGCCCCAGCTGAACGCTAGATGGTTTCAGAGCATTCAGGCGCTCCAAAAGAGCAACATCATCTTTGAATGGTTCACCCTCCATATTTCCATTGGCATAAACAAGATATAGGGTAGAAATGCGAACAGCAACTTAAAAGCAATAAATGCACTGGCATCACTTCTTGGATATTTCCGTAGGCAACGAGGAACTTGGAATGGCAGAACAACTAAAGGCGGTGAGACTGCACTTTTCCACGGTTCCATCCACTAACAAAAAAAGCACATGATTATGCCACCTCACTCTCCGGAAAAGGAGAAAGTGGTCCACCAAATCTTTCAGTCGACACGTAGGAGTGCTAGAGCATTTTCAAATGCCCTTACAACATCGGCATCTGCAGGTTGTCAGTATGTAATATGTTATTACTGCAGCAAGAAACCACCATACAGTGTTTTTTCTTCTCTTCTAGTTTTGTTTCGTGGTTTTGCGTGAAACTCATTCGCGTTTTGAACCTTTAGGGAGGAAAAGCACGGTTAATCTTTTCATATCTTCATGGAAGTTGGCTTGGGTCATTATCATTACCTCTTATATGCCCTATCTTCGTCGCAGGAGACTGTCGTTTGTGACCACGCAACAAACATCTAGGATATGAAATTAGAGCACAGTTCAAGAAATGTAGTGTAAAAGACCAACCTCAAGCAACTCCGCAGTTTCACTATGCAGAGTCATTTCTACCTGGGTTCTCTCATCCATCGCATCTGTAAACTTCTTCTGAAGCTGTTCCCAATCGCAACCACGAAGAGAGAGTGCCAATCCATGATATGCCTCCCCCACCGCATCCTCTTCCTTACGAATGGCATCTTGGGGAATGTCGGGACCAGTTCCAGTATTTTCGGCATTGGGGGTTGAATCTGGGTCTATCTTTTCTGGGCCAACATCCCCAGAATCTGGACGAGATATCGGTGATTCTAGACTCGGATGATTGCTCGACATGGTGATATCTGTGTTAAAAAGAAACAGCTTTAATGACAAAGTGCACTGAAAGCAACAGTTTGTTCCGGGAGGCTTACAGCAAGCCACACTCGTGTCAGGTTCTTATGCCACCCGGGATCCCAAACCCCGTGTGATCAATCTAACCCCCGCTGCTTGTTATCTTCTGAACTGGAGACATGATCATCTCTTATTGTTACCGTGACTTTGTCGAAGAAACTGTCCACGAGATGGAGGCGCTTCCTTCCATTATTATCGTAGCCGCTGGTGCAAACATTGCAAACACTACAAAAACTGCTCGACCCGAAAGTTAAATATCAGGTGACATCATCCAGTCCCCTTCAAGTTTCAAGGCAACATCAACTCCATCGATTTCGACTCACACCAGACAACACTTGGATTACGACCGAGTTTCCTTCAGTACCTGCGGCTGATTTGGTTGAAAATCGTTGAGTGCCTTTGATGGGGTATATAAATGTTTAAAGACCCTCAATTTCCTATCAGCACGAGTCATGAAAGTTACACCTAGACTCTTACCCCTGCCTATCTCAACGGTCGTTTCTACCCTCAACAGTTCCTGCATTCGAGGGATATTGGGTGGAGTATGGAAACCCAACCATTTGTTGGACATCCATAGATAGCTCTCCTCTCTCGAAATTTCCGGTTATGAGCTGCCACGTATGTAATCGTGGGCCTAACACCCGACTCCAGCTTCTCTGCCCGACATGTTCCCGTAACCACCTCTATCCTATTCGGTTCGACCATGCCAAGGTCCTATTGGAAAAGGAGGCCCTTGGAAAAGAAATCGAAGCTGCTGTTGCGGTTAAAGATACAGGTAATATTGGATTTGCGGAGAATGAACAACAAGATGGTTCCGAATCCCAACAACACTCATCTCTTTGGGCCCTCCAGGCAGCCAAGAGTCGCTCTTCGCAGTCGGCCGCGAGGACGTCAACGATTCTCAACCGTATCAGAGCACTGAGGGAGGAAATAAGGGAAGGTAAAGAAAAAATTTCACACCGCAAGGCACTCCTCAAACTACGGCGGTCCGATGTGGGATCCGCAACTTATCAAGTCGATAATCGACGAGCATCGATGCTTTCTACTGTTCAAAATAATATCAAAAAAACAGAACATCTGTGGAACAGCCTGCATGATAAAACAGCACAGTCTAGGGTTTTTCTTTGTCGTGAAGTTGCCAACCTCTACCGCTTGCGCCAGAGATCCAGACGCAAGAATGGTGAGCTTGTGACTGTCTACACTATTGGAGGTGTCAATATTTTCGACCTCAGAGATCTAAATGGTTTGGTATTCCTAGAAGACATAGCCCAACTATCATGACTGACTTGGATTTATAGGCGCAAATCATACACATATTACCACTTCCCTTACCTACATCTCCCATCTCCTAGTCCTTGTTTCGCATTACCTCTCCCTGCGGTTACCTGCAGAGATAACCCTACCTCATCGGAATTACCCTCTACCTACCATATTTTCACCATCATCCTCGTATTCGTCCAGAAAGACAACATTTCCCGGCACATCGCCTTATCAGTCAACCTCGGCAAGTCCGACAGCTTCTCGAACCGCCGATGTCAGGCCACCTCCACGTCCACGACCACTTTTTATCAACAAATCTCTGCCAAAGCTTGCACAGGAAGACCCCGCTACATATGGCTTATTTCTCGAGGGTGTTGCTCTGCTAGCCTGGGATATATCATGGGTGTGTCGTTCTCAAGGCTTAGACGTTGGTTTCGATTCTTGGGAGAATATCTGCGACGTGGGTCACAATTTATGGATGCTTCTCGTTGCACAGCCTTCCCAGGCGTCAGCCATTACGAGAGCGCTATCAACCCGAGACAACCAAGCAAAACTTCAAGACACTAATAAAGATGCTCCTAAAAACAACCTCCAGCGAACCAGATCATCCCCGATGTTTGGCCACTATTCTCACGGAACAGCGCACTCGTTCCTTGGAAGTGCGGAAGGGACAGAGTTTATGAAAAAATGGAAACTGCTTTCGTCAACCAAGCTTGCCGATAAACTAAAATCCACTCTTTTAGGGGAAATGGCGAGTGCGGAGTGGGAGTTGCTCGACCGAACAGAATGGGAGGATGAAGAGTCTCAAAAACAGGTTCTCAAGGAAGAGGAAGAACCTGTTACTGTGATTTCAAAATTCTACTCAAGCGCTTCGGATGTGAGCTTCATCACTGCCAAATCTCTCGATGACGATAGTCACGCAGATGAGGAAACGGTCAACAACCACCGGCCAAAGGGGACACGTGGGTGGACGAAGTTGAAAAATCGATGAAGCTGACTGCATTCAAGAAAATTCCTATTGAACAGGCACACATTTCATGTGTTTATGTTGAACTTATCTGAGAGGTGCAAGGTAGATTCTTCCCATGCAAACACTTGGTGATAGCCCTCCTGGATAACTCTGTTTGGCAATACCCTCGTCCCTCAGTGGATGTTCTTGGACTTTAGTTTAGTGGGTCAGATAGCTTCATCTTGGTATTTCCTTGAATCAATATAGATTCAAGGTGAATCTCGGATGATACTAATGCCGTGCCTACCCTCGCAACGACCTTCCCTCCACGCTCACAGATCCTACTCTAACACCTATACCTCAGACCTCACCCTGCATCCATAAATTCCCCAAGGAAGAACGTATTTCCACCGTCACAGCCCGAACTCTTGGACTTCTGAGGACCGTGGCGGCCCCAGGGGTGATCAGCGAAGAAAGTATGGAAAGGTGTAAAGCAAACCTTCGCTGAAGCCCTTTCCTCCAAACCTGATTGAACGGGTGGAATGGAGCTCGCGAATCTCTGGTACAGTCTCCGATTGGCCTCTATTTACACAATGACTGTGGGCAGGGGCCGCTTATGGAAGAACTACTCGTTGATTACGTAGTTTCACAGCCTGGAAGGTTGCCGGAGAGTAGTGAAATGGGGAGCTTGTCTATGGATTGGATTTTTTGTTTTTTCCCCCTTTTAAGAAAGGTTTTGGTAGGGAGAGTAGTTTATTTCCTGGTTTATTGAGGAAGAGAATTATAGGAATGTTCGGGACTTTTGACACTCGTCACTATTTCATTTATAGATTTTGTACAGAACCACGCTAGATGATATCGTCCGGGTTATAGACTGATAACAATAGAAACGAAAATGGAAGGACATGTCTCTCTCAAAGATATTCCATGTGACGTGAGGACAACTTCATGAGTTGGACTTAGCCTCAGGCATGTGTGTTTGCATTTGCATGGAAATAGAATACGGCTCAACCCTGTGGAAATCATCGATGAGGAGGGGCTGTTCTTTGCTGTGAGCCTTCATGAAAGATAATAGAAATGCCACCTGAAACCCTTCTCATCCTCTCTTCCCAGTTGATTGATTGAAAGTTTCTTAAGAATTAACATCACATATGAAACGTCTGGATCATATTTGATCTGAACGAAGAGGTTTGATATCATGCTATTCACGGAGATACATTCTCAATTGGCAGATAGAGGCAAAACATCAGCAGATGGGAGAGCCACTACAAAACGTCCTACCTCTCAATGAGAAATGAATGGGTTTCTTAGACATGATTTTTCTTTTCTTTTCAGCGGTGCATTGAGTGTGGGGTATAATTATATGTTTATTCTTACAATCATGGTGAGTGATCATTACGCTCCTGGAGGAGTTTGTTTTGGAACGAGATACGGACGGCGGTGAGGGATCAAGCTCGTGGTAACATCAATATCCGTGGATAACTACCTACCAACCCGCAAAGATCACAAGGCCGGCTTAAACATCTCGTTACTGCGAGTAGTTACCAGCGCTGCTCCGTGCCCGTTCCATCCCAAGGTTGGTCGCTTTCATGTGGTGCATTTGTTGTCGAGCTCCTCCCCATGTTTCTTGCAGCAATTGTTCCCCACCCTCCAGGATCCGCTTTCGAGAATCGGCGTTCATTTTCTGTTCTATTTCTTAATCTGGATGGTCGAGCCCAAACGATCGTCCCTACGCTAAGGGTTGAACCCGTGGATCGATCGTCGGTTACACTACTTAACAAAGATGGTGTGGCAGAACAGCGTCGCCAGATCATAAGTGAACAAAATCTGGATTATGGTTACTTTGTTTACCTATGTATATAACCACGGGGAGGAGATCTTGGAACCGAAGAGTTAGTATTATGTGAAATTATGGTTGGCTCTGATTGGACCAGAGAGGCGTTTGTTTTGGTAGCGTGGAATTTGCAAATTGGGTCTGGTAACATGCCAATCAATGGAGGAAACGCATGTTGGAAAGGGAAAATTCCCGATTCATAACTATCTAGGACAATTGGATCTGGAGAAACTGAACAACCTTCTGAACATTTAATGCATCTATCTGCAATCATGACGCGCGACCAAAGGATATGGAATGAGCAACCAGCCACCAAAACATCTCAGTCAAATACCCAACTCAACTGCAGACACACCTTTAAGTTAAATAAATATGTGCCCGAGACATTACGTGGAAACCATGTGTTTGCTGCCTCCATCTCTGTTCTCCAATCTCTAAAATGCTCAATTTTCCCCCGCCCTACCCCATCTGGTCGCCGGCCCGTCTGTGACCGTGATCATAATGATCGGCAAATTTATTGGAGGGCTGCAAGGGCTATTAACTAGTTATCCTGGCGCTGATTTGATGAGATTGTATATCTTACATTTGCCAGCCAGTAGAAACTCTCCACTAGTTAGGTACCTGAAACCCATGGTATCAGGGTTTATGCAGTTACCGTTGACTTGTGATGTCGGGGTTTTTTTTTTCCCCTTTGAAACTTGCTTCATGCTTACTTCAGGCTAGCTGAAGTGGTAAAATGGACAGGCATATAAAAAGTTGCATGAATAACATCTGCAAAATTACCCTTTTAGATCAGGCAGTGGAGACGGTGACAATTCATCACTCACAGTTCACAGTTCAAAGCCCAACGGCTTCTGACTATCTTTCAGGTCATCTCATTGTGTACGCCATAACCACCTTCCCACTCCTCCCCCACTTCCCCCCTCCCAGGTCGACAGGCCTACGACTGGAAGGTTGGAGGATTCGAGCAACAAATGAAGGCAGATACAGTGTTTCAAGGTATGAGACAAAGCCAGAGCTTTGAAGAAAATATATATGTATATCCAAATCAAACAGCAGAAAAATAAAAAGGAGGGGGGGGGAAGAAAAAGAAAAAAAAAGTAAGAACTCTTGAATAACTCATGAAACATGCCTCGACATCTGTTTATCATCTTCAAAAACACCACAAGTAATTAATTAACTAGTGAACTAGTTAGTTAGTTAGTGTTCCAAGATTATGCCATAAACATGGCTTCTCCGACGGGATAATAGTTAATACGCTGGCTTCTCAGGTACTTACTTGTCCACAGCAAGGACCCGCTGCCACATGCTGAACTGTGACCCCCTGAATAAATAACCATCTGCTCTGCCACGTAGAATTGGGCCATTTCGGCTTTGGTCCCTGTTCAATAAAATAACTCTCTCCCCTAATAGTTATCCCTCTCTGCGGCATACATAAGCTCTAGCCCCCCCCCCCCAACACACACACACACACAAGGCAAAAGAGAAAGAAGGACACAGGAAAGAAAAGGAACATAGAGAAAAAATGACCCTTGGAAGTGAGAGCCCAGACGACTCGCAACCCCCACAAGAAAGAGAACACCTAAGCCCAGCCGTTCAGCCCAGTATTGGTTTTAGTGAGTTTTGGATTCGAAAGCGGCTTTCTAGCTGGGCGGGCCCCTTTGGCAACCCCATGATGGATGGAGGGATGATGCAGAGGCACAATCCGCTTGCCTTCTCCTTCTCCTTCTTCTTCTTCTTCTTCTTCTTTTTTTTTTTTTTCCCCCTTGTTCGCAGCCCATAAACGACAAGTAAGAGATGATCGCCAGCCCCCTATTGGGCTCACCCTATTGGGCCCCCCTTCATGACACTCCCCAAACAAAAGGCTAAAAAGCCCCTTTGCTTCATTTTTTTTTAAAATGACAATTTCCGCTTTTGATTATTTCTATTTCTATTTTTATTTTTTCTTGATTTTTCCTGAAATTGACTAAAACCCTGGGTTTTTCCTCTCTCTCTTCCTCTCTCTCTCTCTCTCTCTCTCTCTCTCTCTCTCTCTCTCTTTTTTTTTTTTTTTTTTCCCCTCTCCATCGCTCTAATCCCTAATATATCCACCTTCTCTTTCTCCAGTCACTCATTTTTACGGCCGTTGTTTCCAACGCCAGCCGTTCTTTTTACTATTATTATATTTATATTTTGGATTGATTGGTATTGGTGGATTTATTCCTGCTTGAAAGGTGAGTGCCCCAAGCAGAGAGATATATGTTTCTGTATTTATTCACTGGAACGTCTATTCACTCGCTCGTCAATAAATCTATAATACTATTCCAACTCCTCCTTATTCTCCCTTTTGCCATCTGTCTTTCTTGCATTCATGGAAAATGAGAATCGAGGGTCGTGTGTTGAACCCCGAGTCAATCGGCGCTCACCGATGTGTTACGATCCATCCTTCCAAATCCTCCCCCCTGGCCCCTATTCATAATATATCGCAAGCGCCCAACATCCATATCCAACACATCCAAACACACCCAAGCATGCAAAACAATGTCTTCATTTCAATGTATACCTTCTGCTCACCCGATTAACCTAATACCATGCACACACAAGAAACATCTGGTCAAACTAGAACCCAAGCGCTAACACGACAGTGGTCACCTCACGCAGTCCTAACAACCATCTTGCACAAACAAAACCCAAAAGCCTTCCCAGAGCAAAAACTCACATTAAAACATGCGCGCCTCTCTAGCCGTTGGCGCCGTGCTCGCCGCATCCCTCTCCTCTGTCTCCGCCCAAGCCTGCGCCCCCGGCACCGCCAAGGAGATTGGCGGAAACTGGTACTGCTCCGCCGTCAAGTCTATCACCTACACCAACTTCGGCTCCGAGGGCACCTACAATGAAATCACCTCCATGAATGGCGGCGCTTGCTCATCCAAGCCAAAGGCATATAGCGGACCATTGGCTCCGTTGAATAAGGAGGTGTGTGTGTTTCTTGTCTTTTGCTGTTTTCACAGTTGTATTGAAAATTGTTCCGGGGAGAAGGGGGGAGATGTGAGGGAAAATAGAGAAAAAGGATATGCTTTGCGTATATATATGTTTCGTGCATATACAACAACGGACTAGCGAACTGACCCACGAACAGGTCTCCTGGCACTTCCGCGGCCCGCTCATCCTGAAGCAATTCGCCTTCTACTCGCCCGGTTCAGGCTCAGTCTCCGGCTCCGGCGCAGGCACCAAATACAGCGCCCCAGCCAAACGCGAAGTGAAACCCAGCATCCACAAGCGCCGCCACGGCCACCAACATAAGCGCCGCGGCGACCAATATGTCACCGCAACCATCGACGGCCAGGTCGTCTCCTGGCTCTACAAGGATCAAGTTGGTGCTAACGCGGCCCCAACCCAGGCCCCAGCCGCCGCAGCTGCTGGTGATTCCTACAAAACGACCCCTCCTAAGAAATCTTCGCCTGTTGTTAACCCTGGCTCCGGTAAGTGGGGTCGTCAGGGTTATTATAATGCGGGCTCTGGTGTCGCGGATGGCCTTACGTTCTTGAATCATAACGGTGGTCAGGGATCTGGTGTTTTTGATTAGTATGTGTTTTCTCATCCAGTTGCGATGTTGTTTGGGGATGGAAGTTTGCCCCCCCCCCTTTTTTTTTTTGGCTGACTTAAGAGTAATGCAGTGAGCTTGGAAATTCCCTCTCCTACGCCTCCGAGGACGGATGCTCTGGTTCCGATAGGCCCAAGGTCCTTAAGACGAAGATGATCCCGGACAATAAGGAAGTTATCATCATGACTGACAAGGTCTGCAATGGCGACTGTGGTGCCGTCCGTGAAGGCACTGTTGCTTACCGTATGTTTTCCCCCATTGTTTAAAAGACGAAAGCAAACCAATCCCCCCCAAAAATTTCTATAAAAAGCCTCTAACACCCCCTATCAATCCAGACGGTTTCGACGGCGACTACAAAATCTTCCTCGTCGAATTCTCCATGCCCCTCACCGGCAAAACCGGGTGGAACGAAGACATGCCCGCCGCCTGGATCCTCAACGCCGCCATCCCACGCACCCTCCAATACGGCAAAGCCGACTGCTCCTGCTGGAAATCCGGGTGCGGTGAGCTGGACATCTTCGAAGTGCTCGATGCAGGCAACATGCGTGCCAAGTCCACGCTGCATGGCAGCATCTCTGGTGGCGATAGCAACTACTTCACGCGCCCAACACAGGCGCCCATCAAGCTTGCTGTCGTCTTCAACAATGAGGGGAGATCAGTACATATTAAGATTCTGGAAGATTCCTTTGAGTTTAAGCCGACACTTGATGGGAAGGATGTTGCGTCGATTTTGGAGGAGGCTGAGAGTGCGTCGACTTTTGCGTTGAGTTGAGGAGGTTGAAGGAAGGGTTGAAGGGTTGACCTGGTGTGATTTTGGCTTCTTTTTTCTATCTTTTCGGCTTGTTTGTATTCTTCCTTGGGGGAGAATGTTCGTGTCAGTTTGGGTGCTTGGGTTTGGAGAGATGGGGTCATGGCAACATGCAGCATGCGTAATTGATCGACTGGATATATCGCTGCGAAGCGAAATCACTGGTACTTGACACGGCCTCTCTCGTCTCCCGTGTCTTCTGGGGCAAAGCGGGGCCTTCTGGGTCTGACTTTTGGAACGACAACTCTTGACCAGGCAGGTGATATGTGATCGACTTTCCATGTCTATACACCTGTCCTGCGGTTTGATATCGTCTCACTCCCATTAATCTTCTCCTCAACTCTTTTTGAACCTGAAAACCCGCAACGGAACAGAGGAGGTCATCATTTTCCAAAAATCTTCCTTCGTGTATATGAATCTTTGCCCATCTTTTGTCACATATATATGCAAAAACTAACAAACGGAAAATGAAGATGAGGATGAGACCCTGCCGACCCGGGCTGGCTGGCTTGTTGTATACCCTTTTCTATTTCTCTTGTTGTTTATCTGTTTGTTCAGCTATGTTATTTGTAATTTCAGTTCCTTTCTTCTTGAAAATGCCACTTATAAACCAATATCACGATGAATGAAAGATTATTTTGTTTTGTAGTTTTCCCATAGGTGCGCTGTGCCCTCCTTGTAGTTTGTGTACTTTGGTCAGTTATTAGTTGCGTAGAAGCAAATTGGAACGAGATTTGTAAAAGAATATTTATAGCAAAGCCGGCTCAAACCACGCCCGCTGTGTATCCCTGCTTGTTGTAGTTGAAGAGTGAGTTCTGAGATTGAAGTTCTGAGGTTGTGTCTTTGGTAACAACAAATCTCTGAGCCATGTAACTCAACTCAGACATGACTAATTCTCACTCTTTTCTACGATGCCGGGCCCATTGAAACTGTCTCCAAGTTCATCTCATCCTATCTCTATTCATATCATCTATTACCTATCACCTCATCATCTATGCCGTGGAGAGAGTTCAAATGAAAATATCCTCATCCATTCCTGACCCTAATTTACAGGCAAATAATACCCCGAGACTAAGCACCCCCTACAAGCATCAGCAGAAGCATAACGCAACAGCACCAGCCCGTCATTTCGCACGTCCCCGTTTTTCCGCACCTTGGTGGAGTTGTGAGGTAACTACTTGAGCTAGGAAAATCGACGGCAAGTTTCCTCCCAACCAGGGTGCCGTTGTCGCCCGAACGGTCTCCCACGCCAAGTCAACCCTCAGCCAAGTGCAGGGCTGTGATTAACAACTACGACCAAGCCTTCAAGTTTGCGGGTGGGTACTTTGGGACAGGAAATTTGGGCAAGACTGGAGGGACTCCTCAAAACCGACCAACCGTTGTCCTTGTTGACTTACCTTTGTTCCTTTTGATTTCTCTGTACTGAAGTTGGGTCTGAGGGACGACTATACACTGCTCAACAACTACCATAGGGAAGACACACGGCACTCACGACAGCAGGTTATTGGTAGGAGGAGACACGGAGTGAAGTGGAAGAGGAGAGCCTGAGTGGGCGGGAGCGAGAGGCATTGTCAGCCAGGTGCCATATTTCACTTTTCGACGGTGATTACGACGGCGAAAATTATCCAGGAGAAAACACCAACAAAGTGCAAATTGTCTGGCAGGGCGGGCCATGGATGTGGTAGAGTGCACGGTCTGGGATATTTTGCAATAACGACGTTTTCTAACTGGTAATTATGATTATGGTGGATGGAGGCGATTATAACAGAAGTCCCGGGGACTTAACGAGAGGTACGTTTGACATGTATTCCGGAATCTGTCGCTGCTCTATGCATTTTGCTATTTGGTATGGATCCAGAAACTAGGGGAGGAATCTTTGGTTAATGGCTATTTCATCATGTAGGGCCATCGTTAACAAATATTCCCCTTGCGATCATCCAGGCGGAGCTGGAACGGCGGGGATATGTTGGCACTAGAGCGGACAACGACGTCGCAGACGGAGACACATCAACCGGCTCAAAATGTGGTAGTGGTGTGAGGACCGGGTCATATAACACCCCGCTACACGTTGTAGCATTGATACTGATCTTGGTGGTCAGTACATTCGGTTAGTTATTCCAGTTGACCCTCCTGAACTTTTTCTTTGGCTTCAATTCATATTATCTAGCTGCTTACAACTATCTCCGCGTCCAGCATGCTCATTCCCAATTATCGCCCGTCGTTTCCCGCGCCTCCCCATCCCCAGGCACTTCCTCTTCTTATCTAGACATTTCGGCACTGGAGTTCTGATTGCTACCGCCTTCATCCACCTCCTACCAACCGCTTTCTTGTCTTTAACTCATCCATGTCTACCCAGCTTCTGGAACAAGGGCTACCCAGCAACTGCTGGTCTAGTCGCGATGGTTGCAGTCATGATCGTTGTAACTATCGAAATGTTGTTCGCCATAAGAGGTGCGAAACATGTTCATGGGAGTGAATATGATACGCTAATTGACGAGGTGGCCCCAAATCATGAGACTGGTGCAACGTCTCTAATAAACGGTGATGGCCGTGGAGGGGTACAATTAGGCAAAATCCGCGATACACACCATTCACCCCCCGATTCTCCGCCAAAATCTGGCTCCCCGTCGCATGGTTTGGGTGTGGAGGAAGGGAATACCCCTCTGCTCCCCAAGCCCCAAGACGGAGACGACGGAGATCTCGATCTCGAAGAACTAGACCCGTACCCCGACAGCTCCTCCAACTACGACGACTCCCGCGCTCACCATTACTCCAACCACAACAACCGCCATCAGCACCACCATCACCTCTCTTCCCAAGGCGTCAGCGCTTCCCAAAACCCACAAAAGCAACTTCTCCAGTGCCTCCTCCTAGAAGCAGGCATCCTCTTCCACAGCGTCTTCATAGGTATGGCCCTCAGCGTCGCCACAGGAACCTCCTTCGTCGTCCTCCTCGTCGCCATCTCCTTCCACCAAACCTTCGAAGGCTTCGCTCTGGGCGCGCGCATCGCCTCTCTGATCCCTGCCCTTTTCTCCGCCTCGTCTCCCAAACCGTGGCTTATGGCACTTGCCTACGGGGCTACTACGCCCCTTGGCCAGGCGATTGGCCTGGGTTTGCATAACCTGTACGATCCAGCTAGTACGACAGGCTTGCTGATGGTGGGGATGACAAACGCGTTTAGTAGTGGGTTGTTGTTGTTTGCGGGGCTGGTGGAATTATTGGCGGAGGATTTTTTGAGTGATAGGAGTTACGAGACGTTGAAGGGGAGGAGTCGGGTTGAGGCGTGTATTGCCGTTGCGGCTGGGATGATGCTTATGGCGCTTGTGGGGGCATTTGCCTGAGGGTTCAAACGGGACGGGGAGGTGGGTTTGATTCGTCCTATGTTTCTCTCGCTCTTGTATTACTTGGGAAACTTACGTGGAGTTTTGAATATTTATTTATTTATTTTCGTTTTGATTTCTTGATTTATTTCCTGTTTTATGACTTCTCTCTCTTCGGTTTTCTTTTATGTTCTCTTCCCTGTCTATATTTTATGACGTTACTGTTAGATTTCCAGCTCCATTATAATTCCTAATGACACTGTGATTAGTGTGCTTCCCACCGTCGGATTTAATCGATTGATGTGTATCTAGAGTTAGAAATACCTGGTTTTGTCTGTGGATAATTGGTCAGAAGGATTCCGGCGGGCCTCATACGTGAATATCAGGGGGTATTGCTGATAACTAATGGTCTGTAGCCATTTACGAGATTCATGGACACCGAACTTCTAAGTGAAGGTGGATCTGTGAGCTGGAACAGTGTAAGAAGGGAGCAAAACCTTCGACAACTCTAGATAAATAAGTGCGAAAAGACGCAGAAAGTCTGCGTTCTCATTTTCTTTGATACAAATTAATGCATCAATTCACTAGGACTTTCTTACCTGCCGCGCGCAATCTCTCATCCGACTTCTTGAATCCCTTGATCCCTCAATCGACCTGCAAGTTAATTTTATTGTTCCGAGCTTTCTTCATCTACTCGAGGCCCAGAGTCGCCGGCTCCAGCTCTGCAAGTTAAAAGAGTTGCCTAGTTCTCGTATCTGTCTACGTCAAACCAGACTAAATAAGTCAATTCCAAAAGCCGATGACAGTAAACCTGGAAGGGATTCAACTACACCTCTAACATCGAACTTCTATTAAGCATAATGACTTATAAGCTCGTCTTCAAGACCTGGGAAACATGAACAGGCAATTCTTAAAAACCTGTCAATTGACAAGCAAAGAATAATGGTAGAAATCGAGCAGGGTCCTACCCGGGCCACTCCTATCAAGAGTAGAAAAGCTCATACCAAATCCCGCTCTGGCTGCTACAGCTGTAAGGCGCGCCATGTAAAGGTACGTAGATACATGAAAACCCTGCATATATTTGCATTCAATTTCTAGATACTTACATGTATATATATAAGAAGTGTCCTGAGACGCGGCCGATATGGAGAACTGTACGGCAAGGAAGCTTGATTGCGTCTATCCCGTGCAATTCAAATTGCAATCACAGCAGCTAGCCGCACGCCGGTTGATACCAGATCATAGCAAAAAGAACCGTTCTGCTGCTGTCTTTCGGCTTACAACGTCTCCGTCGGCTTCGTCTCCGTCGCCATCGCCGTTGTTTTCAACTTTCATTAGGCCCATTGGCGTTCTTCAGCTCCTTCCCACATCCTCCACGATCGAGGATATGCGTTTCTTCCACCATTACATGATTGCGGCACATCTGTATCTGCCGTTTGGCTGTGATGGGGTTTGGGTAAATGATATACCTCAGCTTGCTCACCAGGTAAACCAGATTTTTCTCTGGCTTCATATATTTTGCTTTCCGAACTGATCTCGATTGCCGAAGTACGAAGTACGAGTACCTAATGCACGCCATCCTTTCCCTTGGCGCCTTACACCTCTCTCTCATGAACACAGTAAACACTGGTCTTGAAACCTCCCCTAGCTATACGGCCATGGTATCCCACCGCGGCCTCGCCTTGCGCGGACTGCATGAAGCAATTGGAAAGCTTCCCAGCAACTACATTCCACCACCAATACTTTACCAACAGCTACCAGCACCCAAACCCACGAACTCAACGCCATGCTAGCTACCTGCTATGCCCTAGCTGTCCAATCCAGCCACATAATGGACGGCTTCACCGATTTCCTCATCCTAGTGCGCGGCTGCGGACGTCTCGACAACCATATCTCGGTGCACTACAACGCGGAACTCAGGACATTACCTTTGAACGTGAAAGGTCCAGATATGTACGTTCTATACCCTCATCTTGTCAACGGCAACGATAATGGCGATGATGAAGCTAGTCTCGTAGCCATGGACATGCCCACCATCCAGTGCATGACAGTTGCGGTGAGAGCGCTCTCACCACTCCTCCAGCACGATTGGGACTGGAAGTATCATGAACTTATCCTTACGGCTCTGGAGGCATTGCGGAGACGTGCGTGGGTTGATGCATTTATACACTTCCAGGATACATATGTAGTGTGGTGCTCGATGGACGAAGCGAACTTCCCGGAGCATATTATTTCGATATTGGCGCCAGTGCGCAAAAGTAAAGCTTTTCTGATACTGTTTGTGCATTTTACGGCGATACAGACGGTTATGTTGCCGATTATCTTACGCGCAATTCCGCTGCAAGCTAGATTTCCGCAACTGATGTTACTGCAGGTGCGCTGGTTGAATGAGATTAGCTGCTGGATTCCAGATGAACTGCAACAATACCTGTCTGTTCCTTTGGAGGCGGTGGGGAGGCTTGGCGGAGAGTGTGGAGTACGGGTAAGACAGCGTCAATATCTTTGGTAGAGGTGAGGGTTTAATACGGAGAAGTAGTAACTACGTGATTCACACAATATCATATGATTAATATACAGATACAAATGCTCAAAGAGGAGTGGATAAGAATAATGTACAGGTAATTCTTCTATTTGACTATTTCTAATTATTAAGGAAAACAGATACTCTTTTGATATGTACAGTAAGATAATCACGATATTATATCTATTTGAAGAATGTAAGTGATGTGTCAGGAGACAAGACAGAAATATCAGATTATATCACATCAATCAAATCTCTCTTTTAACTCCTTCACAGAAATCCAATAATATAAATAAATAATGATTTAAAAGAGCTGACTGAATGTGTGCACAGTTTATTAATGAGTTTCAATAAAATGAAATCACAGGAGGCTTGTGTAGCTTGCTCTGCTGATCTCAGAAACATATTTTTTATTATGTTGGAGTTTTGATACAAATGACACAGCAAACTTGTAAGTTGATATGAATCTGATCTGGATTATATCAAGTAACTCGACTAATTTAGTTAACTATCCAGGTACTTAATGCTCTCTCGCTCATTGAATGTGAATATGCCTACGACGCCGAAATTACAAAAAAAAAAAAAAAAAAAAAAAAAAAAAAAAAAAAAAGGGAAAAAAAACCCTAGGAAAATGAAGAAGCAGAAGAAGGGGAAGAAGTAATTAGTTACATCACTGCCCCTCCAACCCTCCCATCCCCGTATCGCCCTGCCCGGCCCCATTCTTATTTGAACCTTTACTACCCTCGTCCCCACTCAGTAGCACCTTGGTCTGCGGTACTTCCCCGCCCAGATGCTCCCCCGGCGTCACCGCAACCACATTGTCATTTTCATCTACAAACTCAAAATTATACCGTGACAGAAGGTGTGGGATCGCTGACAGTTGCGGCCCATACCGTGCCGTGTTATCATACAGCTCAAACAGCGGCACGGCGAGTAGTTTCATGTTCTTCGGCACAGATAGAACCTCTGTTTTGCATGATATAGTCAATATTAAAACATGTAGATATAAAAAATAAGAATGGAAAATATACAGGGGAAAAAAGGCATACTCTTCTTTGGAAGCTGGATGAAATACAGCTTCTTGCACTCCTTCGGTCGCGTCACATGCCCTGGCAGAAACGGGTACATGAACGTCTCAAAATTCGGCCGCCACCACTGCGCCAGCGTGTCGCCTATTTCCCACTCGTCGTTCACCCCTTTACCGGAAAATTGTGAACCAACTGGGGCCAATCGTTCGTTCAGCCGGGCCTTGAACCCTTCCACCTCATCGTCATCGTGGTGGAGGTAATCACCTGGCCTGCCATATATCAATAACTACCCCACATTTAGTTTCGGACGTCATATACTGTACAGCTTAAAAAAAGCATTCGCAATCTGCAACATCAGCACATGCGGATGGTTGTGCTCATGGCATACCAAAACACCCTCGCACGTGCGGCGCATGCCATACTGCTCATAGTGCTCCTCCAACCGCTTTAGCCGCGCCAGCACAGATGGGTCTTCTTCGGGTTGCGTTTCCTTTGTTCCGAATGTGTAGTTTGAAAGTGGGTATAGTCGGATTGTGGGCGGCTGCTTGGCTGAAAAGCCTTGCGGGAGGATGGGGCTGCATGAAGGTAATCAGTACAGTATATGATTGTTTGATGGTAAAAAAAAAAAAAAACGAAACCGTAAAGAAGCATCCCGCAAGTAAAGAAAAAAAAAAAAACACCATGGGTGAAATGCGCGACAAGGGACTTACGGAGCTGAGCTCTGTAGTGCCGTTGCGGTCACTGTCGACATTGTCGCTGGCGCGTGCCCTGCTCCGCACAATCCTTTTCCTCAATTCCGAACGGATAGTGCTCCGTATATGCTCCGTATGCGATTAGTTGGATGGAATATACGAGTCTCTGGGCCTGAGAGCTGTTATAGAGATCAGGCACTTCGTGACAGAATAAGGCTGAATATAAATCATTGACTGCTCGTTTTCATCGTTAGTAGATTGATAGCTCTTTGAAGGATTGTATGCGCGTTGCTGTGGAAGCAGCGGAATATCTATTCTCCGTAAACAGGAGATAGTACCATGAAGGTCATGTGATTAGGAGGCCCAACTATTTCCTATTTGGAATCAACATCATAGAATTGCCTTGAATTCATCATTAACTAATTGTCTAGTTAACTTACGCAGTATTACGTGTTCTTTTAAGGGATGTAAATCTTTAAGCTATCGCGCGAAAGATATCATCAATATATAAAAGAGCATCTAACTTTCAAAACAAAATAATGCCTAAATAATAAGTCATGATTGATTCCCAATTCCGAAAACCTGCCAAAAGCTCTGAACCCAACTGTCAAGTCATCAAGAACCAAAATCGTAAGAAACGCACGTCGCTCATTACCATTCTACCTACGACCCAGGGGTCAAGGTTCCAAACATATCCAGCAAGAATAAGCCCCGTCAGTTGCTTAATAAGTGGACACAACCCCGCCTGCGTTTACAACTTCGCATCGACCTCCTCGAATTCGCTCAGGTCCACTATTGGTGCCGGAGCGGTACTGACCTCAAGACGTGCCTTATACTCAGGAACGTTGGTGATGTACGTGGGTTTCACACTCTGAGATTTCGTCATCACAGTGTCATTAGCAACCCCGTTAGCAACTTTGTCTGCCTCAAGCGACGTCACAATGCTAACTCCTTGCAGCAGTTCATCAAGGACGTTGGCTGTCGGGCTGACAATGTTGGCAACCTTCTCATCGTCCAGTTTCACTTCGGCTTCCAGGAAACCCTTGATCGTGGACATGATAGCATCCTTAGTTTCACCATTGTAATTGGTTATTTCCACATTGGCAAACGACGACTTGAACTTGTTGTTATCGAACTTGATCGAGGACGAGGATAGGATAACCGACAACTGCTCCACAAGCTTCGCCTTTCGCTCTTCCGTCACAGCATCAGATCCGACAGCCTTATGCGCTTGAGATTGTGCGACTAGGTGCACCGAAAGCTTAGCACGAGTTGGGGAACTTGGATCGATATATTGGTGATAGTACTCAATCATCTCCGCCTTACTCAATTCTGCAATTATCTTTGCATCTGTTTCGTGTTGTATGAAGTCAAAGTACTCCGATCCGATATGCGACCAGAACCGGCCCGTTTCGGAGTTCAGGTTCTTCAGTTTCTCCAACCGTTTGTTGATGAGGCTGCGTTTGTGGCCCTCGAATTCCTCCCCCGTCATCTTATCCAACGTCTCTGCAAAGCCGGCTAAAAACGCATCAATACGAGTCTCCAGGTATTGATTGGTTCGGTCACTCTGGATAATAACGCGATAACCCAGCGTCGTGGCTGCATACCGCACACCACTCCATACAACATACCCAAGCTGCTCCTGTGTTCGGAGTTGGTCAAATGCTGGCTCGTTGGTAAGCTGACCGAATAAGAGAGATTTGGCACGCAGCTGCGGGTCCATCAAGCTTCCCACGAATAAATAATATTCAATGCAGTGGTTTACGTTTGCTGGGTCCTTCAGCGTTTTCTCGTAGACGAAATTGCTGCCTGGAGGGAGGATTATGTTGCGTCGCATGTGCCACTGAGACTTGGGCAATGGGCGGGCATGGAACGTAGATTCAACCAAGTCTGCCATTTTCAACACGTCTTCCTTGTACAAATTGCCGTGACCCAGAAGTTCGATATGGGTTTGGCGGAGTAGTTGCGGGAAAAAAGCGGCCACGTCTTCGGCTTCGATGTGCTCCAGCTCAGCAGCAAGCTGCTCATTAATCCATGCTTTCTCTGCTGTCAGGTACCTGGTCACATTTCCAACCTGATGGTATGGTTGTTGAAATTCGGCATTGGAGAAGCCCTTGATCATCCGGTCTTTAACTATCTTGAAACGGTCTGGCTTAACTTTGAAGTCTCTCATGCTATGGAGCACCTTTTCCAAGAGGACTGCCATCTTGTCATTATAACCGGAAACGGTCACCTCGAGACCAAAAACACTCGCCGATAAACTATAATCAAGTCCACCCAGCTCGGCATCGTAGGAATACTCTTGAAGGTCATCCCGGATTAAGCCGCATGCTATCTTGGTAAGAACATTATTACCAGGGGTTGCGTATACCAACGGATTCCGAAGAGTGATTTCAAGCGTTGCTTTAGGAACGAAAAAGGTGTCGTCCTTTTTAAACCATGCCCTGACACGGTCGTCGTTCCGGATAAGCGTAGGCTTCTTTGCTGGCTCGAGCACGTCTTTCTTTTCAACCTCGAGCCGTGTTGGAACGAATTCGTTCTTATGCGGCAGGTGAAGTTCCGGTAGCGGGTTGTTTGACGGAGCCTGTAGAATACGCTCGATTTGGGAAAGCATATCACTAGAAATCTTTTCTACTCTGTACTCAGTACCATACCATTTTTCGGTAGAATCCCAGTTTCCTGGATAAGTTTGAGAAACAAGCTCAATATTGAAATTATCCGCTCGGAAAAAGTCGAGGCCACGTTTGATAGCTTGTTCATCAAATTTCCGAATCAAGCTTGGACCGCTGAGGAGCCATTCTCGAGGATAAGGCTTTTGCATGACGCTGCTAAGGCTGCTTGTGAAACGGCTTGCCGGAGATTTCTGTTTGAATTTGAAATCGACCTCTGCAAGGTTTTTCATCTCGTCAAAAATCCATTCCTCAGGTGCCCGTGACTTGATCAAGGAGATGTATTGGAAAATGACTTTAACAATTTCTTCATAATGTTTCAGACCATCTTCTGTAAGACGGACAGAGATGGTGAATAATGCAGAGCCTGGGCAAAGAGCCAGGGAACCGGCAGAAAGCCCGTATGCCCAACCCTTCGCTTTGATATAGGCAAGAATGCTACCGGGTCCTTCATGGCCAATCAAGTGGCTGATATACTTGGAGGGCTTTGATTCATACATATCGTCCTCATCCTGGTAAGGGAAAAGCATGTCCAAAGACCGGCTATCCATGACTGGTTTTGCGAAGCAGATCTTCTGCAAATTTTCTGATGTAAACGGTTGAACATCATCCCACCTATTTTGCGGCAAGCTTTTGTTCTTGACGTCGGCAAACAATTCCGCAACCCAGCCTTCCAGCTCATCCAAAGATTCCTGTCCAAGGACAACTAGTTTCATACGATTTGCCGAGTAGTTCGTTTCGTAGAAACGTATGAACTCGTCCCGTACATTTATGCCACGTGACTGAGGTCCATCCCTTAGGGTTTTCAAATTTCCTGTTGAAAAGTGGTGGTAAGGGTGCTTGGGATTTGAAAGCGATTTGTTGAGTTGCAGAAGTCTCCAGGCATCATTCTGAAGGTTCTTTTTATTCTCCGAGTCTACCGCCCTTAGCTCGCGATCCAAGGTAGACTCAAGGAACAACGGAGCAATGAAGAACTGGGCAAATCTATCAAGAGCGCCATAAAGCGGGGGAACCAAGTCATTGGAGGAGGATGCTGCGCTGTCTGCAGTACTAGGGAAAGGCGGTTTAGAAAGGCCATCGATCAGTGGCTCCGCCTCTGGGGGAAATGCAGCAGTAGCTGAAGGAATCTCCGGTGAACTTTTGGATTGGGAAGTCGCTGTGGCAGCTACTTCGAAATAATAGTTTGTTTCTGTTGCTGCTGTATATGCGTTTGAATAGCCTGAATGTGCCGCCAGATACTGATTATAGGCATTTTCTTTTGGGTACTGCATGGAACGATTAGCCCGGGTGTCTGCACATATAGCTAGTACATACATAGTGGCTAATTTGTTTACTAGCTGGAGGAGAAGACTAAAGAACCACCCACCTTTTCTGTTCCCATAAAAAGGGCGTGTTCTACAGCGTGAGCAATTCCTGGTAGGTCATCATCGTCTGAAAAATTGCCAACATTCACATTAACCGAAGCACTTGCCTTGTCAGTATCGGGATCGTGAACAAGCAGAGCCTCCAATTTATTTGGGAGTCGGATAACACGATAAGAGCGATCATCAACAGAGGGTTTCTCGAGAACATCAGCAAGGCGTTCAACGGTTGTCATAGTGTAGTGGTGCTTTTGGTATTGTTCTGGAAATGAGGGTAAGGGAGCAGATTGTGTCGAGAAACGGGGTGACAAGGCGGATGTGAATAAGTGGCGAGTAGCAGAAGAGCAGAGAGCGGGGAAAACAAGAAGCAGACAAGGCGAGATGATGGCAGCGACTGTAGAGGCAGTAATAAGAGACGGAGAAACCGGTCTGGGGTGTGATAGAGAACGGAATGGAGCCAACAAGGGATTGGTGAGTACCGTGTGGGTGTTGGACAGCGGTAACCGGAGAAGGCACCTTGACGACATGCGACGGCCTACAGGGGAGCACGACAGGAGATGACACAAGCACAGCAGTCTATAGCATCTACAACACAAAGCGATAAAAGTGAAAGCCAGGGGAAGAAGAGTGGGTGAAAGAGGGCATTAATATGATATAGGAGGGAGTTGAGGGTAGGATTAGTGATGTGAGTCGAGTGAGTTGATTGAGTGAGCGAATGGCGGCATAATTATAGAATGTAAACTAAATTTCTGCTCAAAAAGTACAGACAGCGGTGAGTATAACTACGACACTTTTCCCCAGATTACCGGCTGTTGAACCTGTGGTTGGCTTATATGCTGGCATACCATACCATACTGTACTGTACCGTACTGTACATACTGAACATGCACTGATACCAATGTTACTGAATATAGAAGACGGTTTAACTTCGGCAATTCACTGGCGCTGACTCATCCGCCGTCGTGCAAAAGCCGAGACTTGACTGAAAAATGATCTTTGAACACGTTTGTATATTCTTCGTATTATTTG